TTCGCAGTGGCCCATATAGGCCTCCCATAGGACTTTCCCCATTTTTGAAGGGGATGGCCCAGAAAATTGGACAAAAAATCGAAAAAATAATTTGCATCTAGATTTTGATGCAGATTGGTAGAAAATCGATCCACAAACCATTTAAGATACTCCTCTTAAGAATCGGATCAGAATTGCCAAAGATATGACCTTTGCAGTGGCCCATATAGGCCTCCCATAGGACTTTCCCCATTTTTGAAGGGGATGGCCCAGAAAATTGGACAAAAAATCGAAAAAATAATTTGCATCTAGATTTTGATGCAAATTGGTAGAAAATCGATCCACAAACCATTTAAGATACTCCTCTTAAGAATCGGATTAAAATTGCCAAAGATATGACCTTCGCAGTGGCCCATATAGGCTTCCCATAGGACTTTCCCCATTTTTGAAGGGGATGGCCCAGAAAATTGGACAAAAAATCGAAAAAATAATTTGCATCTAGATTTTGATGCAGATTGGTAGAAAATCGACCCACAAACCATTTAAGATACTCCTCTTAAGAATCGGATCAGAATTGCCAAAGATATGGCCTTTGTAGTGGCCCATATAGGCCTCCCATAGGACTTTCCCCATTTTTGAAGGGGATGGCCCAGAAAATTGGACAAAAAATCGAAAAAATAATTTGCATCTAGATTTTGATGCAAATTGGTAGAAAATCGATCCACAAACCATTTAAGATACTCCTCTTAAGAATCGGATTAAAATTGCCAAAGATATGACCTTCGCAGTGGCCCATATAGGCCTCCCATAGGACTTTCCCCATTTTTGAAGGGGATGGCCCAGAAAATTGGACAAAAAATCGAAAAAATAATTTGCATCTAGATTTTGATGCAAATTGGTAGAAAATCGATCCACAAACCATTTAAGATACTCCTCTTAAGAATCGGATTAAAATTGCCAAAGATATGACCTTCGCAGTGGCCCATATAGGCTTCCCATAGGACTTTCCCCATTTTTGAAGGGGATGGCCCAGAAAATTGGACAAAAAATCGAAAAAATAATTTGCATCTAGATTTTGATGCAGATTGGTAGAAAATCGATCCACAAACCATTTAAGATACTCCTCTCAAGAATCGGATCAGAATTGCCAAAGATATGGCATTTGCAGTGGCCCATATAGGCCTCCCATAGGACTTTCCCCATTTTTGAAGGGGATGGCCCAGAAAATTGGACAAAAAATCGAAAAAATAATTTGCATCTAGATTTTGATGCAAATTGGTAGAAAATCGATCCACAAACCATTTAAGATACTCCTCTTAAGAATCGGATTAAAATTGCCAAAGATATGACCTTCGCAGTGGCCCATATAGGCCTCCCATAGGACTTTCCCCATTTTTGAAGGGGATGGCCCAGAAAATTGGACAAAAAATCGAAAAAATAATTTGCATCTAGATTTTGATGCAGATTGGTAGAAAATCGATCCACAAACCATTTAAGATACTCCTCTTAAGAATCGGATCAGAATTGCCAAAGATATGGCCTTTGTAGTGGCCCATATAGGCCTCCCATAGGACTTTCCCCATTTTTGAAGGGGATGGCCCAGAAAATTGGACAAAAAATCGAAAAAAATAATTTGCATCTAGATTTTGATGCAAATTGGTAGAAAATCGATCCACAAACCATTTAAGATACTCCTCTTAAGAATCGGATTAAAATTGCCAAAGATATGACCTTCGCAGTGGCCCATATAGGCCTCCCATAGGACTTTCCCCATTTTTGAAGGGGATGGCCCAGAAAATTGGACAAAAAATCGAAAAAATAATTTGCATCTAGATTTTGATGCAAATTGGTAGAAAATCGATCCACAAACCATTTAAGATACTCCTCTTAAGAATCGGATTAAAATTGCCAAAGATATGACCTTCGCAGTGGCCCATATAGGCTTCCCATAGGACTTTCCCCATTTTTGAAGGGGATGGCCCAGAAAATTGGACAAAAAATCGAAAAAATAATTTGCATCTACATTTTGATGCAAATTGGTGGAAAATCGATCCACAAACCATTTAAGATACTCCTCTTAAGAATCGGATTAAAATTGCCAAAGATATGACCTTCGCAGTGGCCCATATAGGCCTCCCATAGGACTTTCCCCATTTTTGAAGGGGATGGCCCAGAAAATTGGACAAAAAATCGAAAAAATAATTTGCATCTAGATTTTGATGCAGATTGGTAGAAAATCGATCCACAAACCATTTAAGATACTCCTCTTAAGAATCGGATCAGAATTGCCAAAGATATGGCCTTTGTAGTGGCCCATATAGGCCTCCCATAGGACTTTCCCCATTTTTGAAGGGGATGGCCCAGAAAATTGGACAAAAAATCGAAAAAATAATTTGCATCTACATTTTGATGCAAATTGGTGGAAAATCGATCCACAAACCATTTAAGATACTCCTCTTAAGAATCGGATTAAAATTGCCAAAGATATGACCTTCGCAGTGGCCCATATAGGCCTCCCATAGGACTTTCCCCATTTTTGAAGGGGATGGCCCAGAAAATTGGACAAAAAATCGAAAAAATAATTTGCATCTAGATTTTGATGCAAATTGGTAGAAAATCGATCCACAAACCATTTAAGATACTCCTCTTAAGAATCGGATTAAAATTGCCAAAGATATGACCTTCGCAGTGGCCCATATAGGCTTCCCATAGGACTTTCCCCATTTTTGAAGGGGATGGCCCAGAAAATTGGACAAAATATCGAAAAAATAATTTGCATCTAGATTTTGATGCAAATTGGTAGAAAATCGATCCACAAACCATTTAAGATACTCCTCTTAAGAATCGGATTAAAATTGCCAAAGATATGACCTTCGCAGTGGCCCATATAGGCCTCCCATAGGACTTTCCCCATTTTTGAAGGGGATGGCCCAGAAAATTGGACAAAAAATCGAAAAAATAATTTGCACCTAGATTTTGATGCAGATTGGTAGAAAATCGATCCACAAACCATTTAAGATACTCCTCTCAAGAATCGGATCATAATTGCTAAAGATATGGCCTTTGCAGTGGCCCATATAGGCCTCCCATAGGACTTTCCCCATTTTTGAAGGGGATGGCCCAGAAAATTGGACAAAAAATCGAAAAAATAATTTGCATCTAGATTTTGATGCAGATTGGTAGAAAATCGATCCACAAACCATTTAAGATACTCCTCTTAAGAATCGGATCAGAATTGCCAAAGATATGGCCTTTGTAGTGGCCCATATAGGCCTCCCATAGGACTTTCCCCATTTTTGAAGGGGATGGCCCAGAAAATTGGACAAAAAATCGAAAAAATAATTTGCATCTAGATTTTGATGCAGATTGGTAGAAAATCGATCCACAAACCATTTAAGATACTCCTCTCAAGAATCGGATCAGAATTGGCAAAGATATGGCCTTCGCAGTGGCCCATATAGGCCTCCCATAGGACTTTCCCCATTTTTGAAGGGGATGGCCCAGAAAATTGGACAAAAAATCGAAAAAATAATTTGCACCTAGATTTTGATGCAGATTGGTAGAAAATCGATCCACAAACCATTTAAGATACTCCTCTTAAGAATCAGATTAAAATTGCCAAAGATATGACCTTCGCAGTGGTCCATATAGGCCTCCCATAGGACTTTCCCCATTTTTGAAGGGGATGGTCCAGAAAATTGGACAAAAAATCGAAAAAATAATATGCATCTAGATTTTGATGCAGATTGGTAGAAAATCGATCCACAAACCATTTTAGATACTCCTCTTAAGAATCGGATCAGAATTGCCGAAGATATGGCCTTCGCAGTGGCCCATATAGGCTTCCCATAGGACTTTCCCCATTTTTGAATTGGATGGCCCAGAAAATTGGACAAAATATCGAAAAAATAATTTGCATCTAGATTTTGATGCAAATTGGTAGAAAATCGATCCACAAACCATTTAAGATACTCCTCTTAAGAATCGGATTAAAATTGCCAAAGATATGACCTTCGCAGTGGCCCATATAGGCCTCCCATAGGACTTTCCCCATTTTTGAAGGGGATGGCCCAGAAAATTGGACAAAAAATCGAAAAAATAATTTGCATCTAGATTTTGATGCAGATTGGTAGAAAATCGATCCACAAACCATTTAAGATACTCCTCTCAAGAATCGGATCATAATTGCTAAAGATATGGCCTTTGCAGTGGCCCATATAGGCCTCCCATAGGACTTTCCCCATTTTTGAAGGGGATGGCCCAGAAAATTGGACAAAAAATCGAAAAAATAATTTGCATCTAGATTTTGATGCAGATTGGTAGAAAATCGATCCACAAACCATTTAAGATACTCCTCTCAAGAATCGGATCAGAATTGGCAAAGATATGGCCTTCGCAGTGGCCCATATAGGCCTCCCATAGGACTTTCCCCATTTTTGAAGGGGATGGCCCAGAAAATTGGACAAAAAATCGAAAAAATAATTTGCACCTAGATTTTGATGCAGATTGGTAGAAAATCGATCCACAAACCATTTAAGATACTCCTCTTAAGAATCAGATTAAAATTGCCAAAGATATGACCTTCGCAGTGGTCCATATAGGCCTCCCATAGGACTTTCCCCATTTTTGAAGGGGATGGTCCAGAAAATTGGACAAAAAATCGAAAAAATAATATGCATCTAGATTTTGATGCAGATTGGTAGAAAATCGATCCACAAACCATTTTAGATACTCCTCTTAAGAATCGGATCAGAATTGCCAAAGATATGGCCTTTGCAGTGGCCCATATAGGCCTCCCATAGGACTTTCCCCATTTTTGAAGGGGATGGCCCAGAAAATTGGACAAAAAATCGAAAAAATTATTTGCATCCAGATTTTGATGCAGATTGGTGGAAAATCGATCCACAAATCGTTTAAGATACTCCTCTCAAGAATCGAATCAGTATTGGCCAAGAATATTCCGTTTATCAACTGTATTTTAAATATATTTAATAAATTATCGGTTTTCAGAGGATTTTTTGTAGGAATATATATTTTAGTATGTTCTTTCTATAATTTTAAATGATCAACATTTGTACAACTATGAGATGATGCATCTTACAATATAATAATTATTTGCGTTAACAAATAGACAAGATTTCACATTGGTGGCGACCCGGGGGTCAAAATCTTATAACACGTACACGAAGGTCCAGTAGAGGGCATTGAAGGCCAGAAACATGCAGGGGAACAGGAGCCTGGACCGCCGATCGATCCACATGGCGATCTCCTGCGGGGTCATCGTGGTGAAAGTTGGAGGAGTTTCCTTTTTCTCCTTGTCCTTGTCTATGTCCACGATGTGGTCATTACTGGTTCGTTCACTGCAAATGGATACTGTGTCGGCGCACTCGGTTTTGATGATGGGCAAGTTGGGCTAAGGATTTAAAGGATAAAACGATAGTAGATTTGAATCACCAAAGTATTGGTAAGGATACTCACGTGAACTGTTAAGTAGTTGTTGAAGCCCGGATTCACAGTTCCATTGCCGTTACGCACACTTTCCGTGCTCGAGACTATGTTGTCCAGACTGGAGCAGGATCTGGCCCGGGACTCGTTGCTCAGACTGCCGCCAATCTGACGTCGCGAGGGTCGCGGGGTCAACGTGGACTTGATGATGTATTTGCTGTTGACCTTCTTCAGTTCAATGTTCTCCTTCCGCCGCCAGATTGTGTTCACAAAGGCAAACTCCACCAGGCTGCCAAAGATGAAGAAAGTGCATCCCAGGAACCAAACCTCCGACACCTTGATGTAGCTAACCTTGGGCAGGGTTTTGCTCTGCGACGAGGACAGTGTGATGAACGACAGCATAGTGCTGGTTCCTGGAGGATACAAAGGTTCAAGATCAAGATTAGATATACATTTTTATAAATATTTCATTATAACCCTACCAAGCATAATTCGGGGTGGCGAGGCATCAGCTTGTAGCCAAAAGGATACCCAGGAAATGGCCACAATCATCATGGAGGGCAGGTAGTAATCCAGCAGATAGAAACCAATCTCCCGCTTCAGATTCACAGTAAAACTCAAAGAGCTGTAGTTTCCCACTAGAAAAAGAATATAAAGTTAAATCAAGTCTTGAAAATAGCCTTTCCCATCTTACCAAAAGCTCCATGTCGAAGATTTTCTATATCCGAAACAACCAAGGTGGTGTTGTGCCAAAATCTGGCCATATTGTACTCCGTAAGGCGCATCTCAGGATCAAAGGATATGGGCATATGCTCCTCCCATTCCAAAACCAAGTCCGAGGTGTTGTACATCCCTTTGGAAGAGTTTGTAAATTATTGGAGTTCAAAATTCCAGACTTAAATCACTTACAGCTCTCCAGGACAGTGGAGCAAAATTGCTGATCGAAGGGGAACTTTTTAAAGTTCATCCAGCAGTAGAGGGTGGCCTGCATCCTGGTGGAAATGATAACGTTGCCCTCTGGCGACAGAGAGGTCAGGACATCCTTCTCGTCCGTGCCCAGGATGCTGGATTCGCGTTCGTTGGAGAAGAAGATGTGTGGCAGCCAGAGGCGTTCGCTCAGGTGCTTCTGGCCCAGGATGTTGTCGTAGCGGTTGAACTCCTTGTAGGCCAGCCGTTTGTCCTGGAAACTCAGCTGCAGGAGGGCGTGCATCTTGAATTGCAGCAGGTCCGAGTTCAGATTTTGCAGGAAGTATACATAGATCCTTGTCTTTACGACAATGGGCAGGCGTTTTACAGGTTGCGCCGTATAATTGTAGTCTTGAAGGAAAATTACATTTTAGTTAAAGTTTTTTTGATAATATTTAGTTTTCTAAACTCACCTATAGGCCTTTCGAGGCGATCATACCGGCAGACGTGGGTCAATCTTTGGATGAGTTGGGTCTGTTGCAGGCTAGAGGCATTCACCATAGAAGGACACTCTTCCTCGTCAACGGCTAAGATGTTGGCACTGAAAGTTAAAAAGAAGTAGAGTTTATAATAACGCGAATTAAAATCCCAGTGACGAAAACATATGCAACACCCTCAATATCACCCTGAGTTCTCTAGATCTTACTCTCACTATATAATATTAAATTATTTAATATTCAATTAAATTACTTCACACCCTAAAAATCTGCGAAGCAATATCTTTAAAATGCATTAAACATTTTAAAATTTTCGGGCAGTACTTTAGAAATAAAAGTAAAGTAAATTTAAGGGTTTAGTGCGATATTCCATGCTAGAAATACTGTTTCGGTTTCCGACTTCTTCAGAGCAAAGCCGCATTAATGGGATAGGAATAAAGCCGTGGAGTGAGCAGTGAGTACCTGAGCAGCTGTGCAAGCTCATTTGCAGGTACCTTAAATCATCAAACGGCGAAATAAATGGCTAAATAAAAATAAATAATAGGAAAATATTTGTCTTCTCTTCTGGCAGTCGCCTATTATTTAACTAGTATTTTATTTTTTCTATTTTTCGCCATTATTTGCCCGCTTGCGCAACAACAAAAATTATTGAATTCAATTGACCTGGTCCCCCATAACAGGAAACTAATTAGAGTCCGTATTGATATAGCGGCCCGATCTTGAACTTATCCGATAAGAAATCTTCACCGAGCCGGGCACGGGGACTCTTGAACCTTTTGTTTCGGACTTCAAAGGCGAAATGCCGACTGTAATAATAATTTTCGGTGCGTTTGTGAGAAAATCTTAATTAAATTCTAATCTCAGAAGGTCTGAGGATTTATTTTTGCCATCGTCTGAAGATTTATCAAAGGCTTAGGGAAATTAAATATTCCCCGACTGATTTTTGTTGAGCAACAACAACAGGTTCGGAAATCTGGAAAAATCCAATCCATCTGGTATTTTCCAGGGACAGGAAATATTTATAAGCAATGTTTCCAAATTCTGTGATGGGTGTAAGCCCCAGTCTTATCAGATTTCTTGTAAACACATTCTCTGAAACATCATCTTGTTATCAGATAAAATTTTTTGAATTTCGTTATCAATGGAATCTGGTAATGAGCAATACTTTAACTTTTATATTTCCCTATTCCTGGTTTGATCTTTAACTTCAGAATAATGCGATTCTTTTTTGAAAGTCTTGAGTAGATTTTAGATTAGGAATACTTTTGGAAAGTTACTCGATTACCTTTTCGTGTCAAACAAAAAGCGAAGAAACCAATCTAAATATAGAAAAGTCTTGCTAAAATTATTATCAGACCCCTGGGGGTACAGAGGCAAACCAATTTGAATGATGTATCTGATATTTGGTTATTGGTTGGGTTTTTCCGCACCATTCCAGTTGAAACTTACCCCAGACAGGCCCAGATGCAGTATCCAAAGACGAAAGTAATCCACAAGCCCTGCGAGAGGTCCTTCATGTTGAATTTTTGTTAAAATTTCCTACTCGATTGGGGGGGTTTTCTGAACTGATCTTTTCGGTGGCCTCTTGCTAAATGATTCGATTTTGTTGGCTTGTCAAATTATATGCTCATGTTTCACACGATCTCCTCGCACATTCACTTCACACATTCACTTTGCAATTAATGCAAATCCAATTCGATTGATTCTGATGTGTTTTTTATTCGCGAATTTCCCACAGACACCTCGAGGACGAGGAGACAGGTCTACGGGGTACGGTTTACGGTCTACGGCTGCTTTCGGTTTGAGATCGCGCCGCTTTTGCGCCTTGTAGAAATACCCGGAGAATCCGAACCGCAGAACCCGAACCGAGTCTGCTCTGTCTCTGCCGCTGTTTACGAAGCACTGGCTTTTTAGGTGAAGTTCGTGCTGTGCTGATCTAGCTCTCAAATATTTTGTCGCTTTTTTTGGGGGAGACTGATAAGCTCTGCTGCTCAGTGATACTGCCACCCACAACCCGAAGGAAAACAACAACCGCCGCACAGGTACTGGTGCTACCTGGTCAAGAGCTCAAAAGCAAAAGCGCAGGGTCGAATGGCGATCGGCGCACTTATAAGCAGGTATAGACCATATATACTATATGGACCTAGACTCACCCGCGTGCGTTTCCCACTCGGAGAAAAACTATCAGTGGAAAGGGTCCATCTTAAAGGTTTTAATAAAAATTAACCCACAAATAAATACTAGGAAATGATGAGGCAATTATGGATAGGTCCTTTATACAAGCTATAATATTTTATAAAGGATACTTCAAGGATTACAGTTAGTAGTCTTTAGTTTATATTTTTCCAAAGTTTTAAGAAAATTTCACAAGAATATAAAACACCTCAAATATTAAAGCAGATACTAATATTTTTGTTGTCCAAAACAAATAAATAATTAAATTGTAGAATAGGCAATTCCGCATTATTTGTGACCAGCGTCAAGCCCTTTGAAATGAGTTTTTAGACGATAAAATATTATTCCCTGTGATTCATTTTGTGCAACAATAAGAGTTAGATGATGGGGCACAATTATGTATGTTTTTGTTTGCTGTGCACGAATCGGAAGCGAAGCATCATTACAAGTATTATTGCACCGCCTGGGAAACCGGTATGGAACGCGTATTGGAAAATGCACCGAATGCGAATAAATAATCGTAACATTTATAAAGACACTCCAGCTCGGAGGCACTCGCATTTCTTGCCCTGTTGCCAGGCATTAGCATATTTCGATCGGTCCGTCCGTAACAAATCGATGGAGCTAGTCATACCTAGTCATATGGGCAGCTAGTCATATGTTTGTCCAAGTGTTCCAGGCTCCAGCAGCTTCTAATTAAGGCTGTAATGTTTGCGCACGCTCTCGGCAATGTGTTTAATCTTCACTTGACTGGCAGAAAATCTATAATTCAAACTTGGACCTGGTTGGATGGTTCAACAAACCCGTCATTGTGTCCCCAAACAACAAACTATTCAATTCTTATCAGCAAACAATTGCAATTCCTCCTGGTTGAACGATCGAGCCAAGGGATTATGCTCTGAGGTCGAAATCCGCACACTCCTCCACACCTAAAAATATTCAAAAAAAAATACACAAAAATGTATAGATTAAATTATAATGAGTCTGACGAAGGCAAAGGCGAAGCTAAAGCCGCGACGTGACACAGAATTAAGAGTGTGACAATAATTGAATATATGACAAATGGCCAATTGCGGAATGAGTTAATATCATTTTGTCAAATACAATTACGCTCGATACTCAATATATTGGTAACTAGTAGTTGGCCCGGCCTACAGTAGTCTTGAAACCCGAGTGGATCGTGATTGGGGCCTACCGGCTGGTTATGTTTGAATGATTTATTTCCCATTTGTTCAGTGGACAGGTGTACGAGACAATTCAAGTGCTACAATAGCACGAGATAGATAAAAGCTTCCACAAAGTTTTACAAGATTTAAAAAAGTTGTAAAAATTCATTGCGAAAAGTTGGTTACTTAATTTTGGAACTCAGGAAATGCGTCATTCTAGGGGTTTTCTTTCTTTTTTCAGATATTTAAAGGGTTCTATTTTCTTACCTTTATAAGTAAAAGATACCTTAAATTATGACCTAATAATATACAAAAATCTCCTCCAACTCTAGGTTAAAACTTTGAAAATCCTGAAAATTATAAACTACTAATTCTAAAAATAAAAAAACAGTTCTTACGTCAATTCAACGCCGGACTTTTCTCAACTTCTCACCTCTTATCGGGGTTATTTTAAGAACTTTAATTAAATGAAATGCCCGTAGCTGAGCATATTTGATCTGGGAATATTTAACAAGAAGGCTTATTTAATTATTGTTCGCATTGCCAAGGCAAACAGCGCCCACTTGTGATCTTATTTGGCCAATTTGGCGCGCAAAGAGCACGGCTTATCACGGCTATCGTCCTATTTGCTCCAGATCTCTAGACTCCAGACTCTGGGAGTCAATGCCATGGTCCGATCCGCTCCAATCCGGACGGAGGTGTTGCTGGGGTTTCGGCTTTCGAGGTTAAAAGTTTATTTGCTGCGATTTTTATGGGTCGGTGGCAATGTGATTCTGCTGTTTACCCACAAATATTGGTCCAAGCTATTGCATAATATTTATCCGGCGGCAATGGAGTCCTGGTTAGCACGTGATTGCGTGATTCGATCAAGAGATCTATATCTTTATCTTCAATATGACTGTAGGATGAGTCACCGGCGGTGTCACTTTTTGGCGGTGGGGGTGGGGGGCAGGCAGAGTCTTTATCTCAAGACAACATCTGGCAGGCGGTTAGACAGTTGCTTGTGTTTGAATGCGAAAAGTTTAATTAATTAAAAACAAAAATTGAAAATGGTGTGCCATGTAAATAGAAGCCCGCGTCAGGGGCATTCAGTAAATATCAAATACAATAAATAGAATTGCAAACAAACGTACTCGAAATCGAAATTAAAAACGTGTAGTATTACCCGGCAGATAATCGGAGACGATGGACTCAAGTGCCTGTCTAAAATTAAAGCGATGACTGCCGAATCCGAGTGGGTTTTTGGGGATGGCCAGTGGCTAGGTCTCTCTATCTTTTGTTGCCGTTTTCGAGTTGACTTCTGGGCCATAATCTCCGACTCCTTGGTAGCCAAATTATAGCACCACATTGTTATCAGCCAGCGGGGCGTACGAACCCCTTCAGTGACGTCCGTTGGGTAGCATTTAAAGCTTTGTTTAATATTTACTCTGGCCACCGAGGCGTATGCGTAATATTCTGTTATTTCTGATTCAAACCGTAACGGAAGCTGCTGTAAAATGTCAACCGTTCCACTGAAAGATGACGACGGATCGTTTTGTTTTCATTTTATCTCCGGTGTGTTGGACAACCGCCATCGCAGTATAAATTTCCAATCTTGAACACTGTTTACAGCAATAATATCGTGTTATCAGTCCCAGTATGTACAATGCTTATGTGGATGCGATCCCCGCACGACTGACTAGAGCCCACAAAAAATAAATAATTCACGTGTTTCAGAGACATCACCGTGACAACTCACTCTGGCTTTTTCTCCCGGGCTAGCCAAATACAGAACCGGAGCGGTAGTGTTTAATAAATCAGTTGCTCCAGGTTTTTTCGGCCTGGGACAGGCGGCTTACGTGCGATGGGAAAAGATCTTAGCAAATTAACTCAGACTGCTCCCAGGGCAGTCACAAAAAACGAGAATCACTGGAATATTTATAGAAGCGCATATCACAAAAATAATAACAGGCTATCCGGTCTAAGAGTTTTGTTTACCTAGACGCCAAAAAACTTGTAATAAATCACTGAGGGTGTAAAACAAGCTTTTCGAAGCTAAAATATGTATGCTACGATTACGGCTACCCGATTTTGCAGTAACAGTGATAAAGTAGAGCACCCATAACAGAACCTAACTATCCCCTTATCCAGTATCAAACACATTCAGCTTCAGGGCGATCTTAGCGCTTACCACGTAAAGTTTTGTATTTCTAAACTGGAAGTTCCAGCTCGATGCGTTTAAGTACGCCAAAAACACATTTTTCGTCATGGATCCGCTGGACTACGGATCCCTAAACGTTACACAGACATTATTCAATAGGCTAACTATGAGCTAACACGAAAACAGCCTCCCAAAGGTGATTACTTCGCCGCACCGGGTTCACCGCCGGTGATGGCCGGCGACTTGGCAAAGTCCTCGAAGGTGTCCTTGATCTTCTTCAGGCCCCGGCCGGCGTAGCAGGGCAGCATGTGAACGAAGCGGAAGGAGCTCTTGACGCCCTCGTTATAGTAGTGCTTTGCCAGGAATCGGATCTCACCCGATTTGGGCAACTGTGGAACCTCGAAAGGCAGCTGTTTCTTCGCCTTCTGAACGTAGGGACAGAGCTCCGACTTGATGTTGTTGTACAGCTTATCGGTGTGGTCCGTGCTACCCCAGATGCCCACACTCCGGGTGTAGTACACCACTCCACCAACGGCGCTACAGCGCAGAAGAAATCTGCAAAATAAAAGGTACAAATTAGCAAACTCTGCTTACGTAAGTTGCCAAAATTTGCAATTTTTCTCACCCCACAACCATGGTGATCTGTTGGATTTGTTAGGAAGAGAGAGTGACAGTCAATTGAGGGTTGTATGGAATCCAAACTCGTCTAGTCTGGTCGTTTTCGTTTAGAATTTAGGCAATTCCTATTTCATATTTTTGTCTCGCTAAAATGTTTTTTATTTTTGAAGTGTTAACAAATATCCAATTGTAGTGTTAGAAAACGTCAAAATTAGTGTGGTGTAATGCTTGGCTAATGCGATGTGGCAACTCCAATCCTAACTCAACTCAATGGTGAATAAGGGAGTTTTAAATTTGCTTTGAAAATTTTATTTTGTGTTTAATTCGCTTTTTTCGAACACTTGAGGATTTTATATAATATTCTTATCAAGAAGCAGCTATCACTATTTTGAAGTAAGAAGATTTTGTTTAAAAACGATAAGTGGTAGTTCAGGTAATCAGCTACAAAGTCATCGACCTTTTGGTTCGACTTATTATGTGTGTATTTAAAATTTAAATTTACAAACTTTTCATATTGTTAACATTGATTTGAACACACCTTTTTCAAGTTAAGTGGGCCATTGACCTTTGAAAAGAGAAACGCCTCAGTTATAATCAAAATGACTGTTAAAAATTCATATTTTATGGCAAAACTTTCGACTCGGTCTAGATTACCCAGCACCTGTTGTCGCCTTTGAAGTAGATTCTTAATTCCTAAATTAGTTGATTAATAAGATTTAATACTTGGTTGGATGCTAAACTCCCAGCGGTGGCATAAAAGCAGTTAAGCCTGTCATCAAAGCCTTATGGATGCTTGTTCCGATCCATAAATCAGCAGCCGGTGATATTTAGCCGGGGGAGTCAAAAATAACAAAAGCTGAGACCCCTGCAACCAGACTGGCACGTGGATAGATTTTCGCAAAATCCGAAACACAGAACATGGCGAGACAGAACTCGTTAGAAACTATTGGGATTTAGAAGAGTTTCGAATCTGGAAGACGGACGGATACAAATTGGCCGTGTTTCCCGACATGTTGCCAGTCATCTGTCTAATATGTGTTTGAAAGCTTAATGCTTCTGTTGAAAGGGGCGATCCGATAAGCGAACCCGTCATGAATAATTCATATTCGGTTTTGTCTGAATATGAATGGTTCTGCCAACTAGTTGGATATCCGACGCACTGCATCAACGGGGGAACGCGAACGCATGGCTTACATGGTGGAACTCCGGAGGTGCGCGCCGTAATCTATTGGTGATATATCTTCCCCCAAGGCCGGAACCAAATTGGAGATTAATTTGAGGCGAACACGAGCATCAATCAGCGACTTGTTTCGGTGACATTAAGTGCCAACTTGGTGGACGGTGTTAACTCCATTTGGTTTATTAGTCTGGTTACATAAAGTGGGTCTCGACTAGTCGGTCAATATTATGCAACGACCTTAATTAGGCGCCCACATGCAAATTAGCGACACTCTTTTCTTTGATTGCCTTTAAAAGCGAAAGTCGTTCTTAAAGACAAGGTCATCCCATCGGAGAAGTATGACAAATTTTTTTCATAAAGAAACCAGCTCATAGTGCTTTGATGAAAGCTGGCATTTTGGCTCCATTTAGTTTCTGAATCATTAGCATAGAAACATGATTTCGACTAGTTCTGCAGTTCATAAATCTTTGACTATTTCAAAGAATATTCTTAAAATGGATCTCAGGTTTGCATCTCAGATTTTGGAATGCACACTGAGAAAAGTTGATATCCGTTTCTATTCTTTCCTTCTTAAGTCTCATTTCGTTGAGTTATGGTTTATAAATAACGAACATTAATGAACTTTTTAGCATGAACTTCAAATATATTTTGGTTGACATTTAGACGGTATTAGAAATGGTATCTAAAGAACCACTTTAGTTTTGTCTCAAAAGAATTAAAAATTCAGAATTATCTTTTTAAAATATTTGTGTGCTCGATAAGTACAATAATAATGAGAGAAATATTAATACTTAATAGCCTCTATTATTTTATCAACCTTTACAAAAAGACTTTATTGAAGGGAAAATATAGGTCTTTTTTATAATCTTAATATTTCTTCAGCTCTTGATTTTTATCTCTTACCCATTTCTACTTCCACTACGACTATTACTTGTCTTTGCTTATTATTTTTGTTTGGATACAGCTTTCCGGACTTTCAGACAAAAGATCGATTAAATCTAGTACTTTATTTATATTTCTAGAATATTTATTTGTTTGCTACATATTTTGGCATGATTCTGTGCCGGCTGATTGCCGTTGAGTTTGTCGCATTTGCATGTGAAAACGATAAACATAAATACAAAATTTAAATATTCCTCAACTGCAACGGCATTCAGCCAGGCAATAATTAGGAGTCAATATATAATTGTTTTAATGTGGAATTTTGGTATCTGATCTTTACCAGCGCCTCGACCTCCGCTCGTCGACGGGCGAGTGGGTGCGAATGTATTCCAACTGTCGGATTACATGCAGCGGAATCGTTGGAATCATATCTCCGGTGGGCTGGTATCCATTCGCATCGGCCACGTACGAGAAGGTCACCGGAATGCCCTCGGGCGACACGTACTGCACCACTCCCACTGCTCCGTTTTCGTTGCCAGCCCCCTTGGTGGTGATCCCGTTGGTGGTCTGGAACTCGAAGCTGTAGAGGCCGAGCGAGTCCGGCGGGATATTCCGGTAGTAGATGGTTCTGGCCGCCGAGTCCCGGGCAATTCCGATACAGAAATGCAGGCATCCGAGGGTCACAACGAGGAGTATCTGACGTGCGGGAGGATTAGCGGATCCCAACAACAAACAATTCAATAACAAACGACGCACAAACCTTGCAAAACGAGCGCGACGACGGAGACATCATCTCCTAATTAAAATAATTCCAAATGTTTGACTTTTCTGTCTGGATCTCGAACCTGAAACCGAACCTGAATCGGACTCAGTGTTCAAAATAAAACCGTTATATAGCCGTGGTAATAGCGACGATCTGCTGCAGTCGAAGGTTGAATTTGGACTGGCCCGAAGAGATTAAAACGGGTCCAAAAGGAAGCTTTCGATTTCGGCAGGGGAAGTTTGTGCTAATTTTATTCGAAACGAAACGGCTTTCTGAGAACAGTTCTCTTATTGAAAAACCGAGGGGTAAACAAAGCATAAATCAGGAATCGATGCATCCGAAAAAGCAACAGCAACATCATCGCCCCAATCATCTTCAAAAGACGAGTCCGAAGCACGGGAATTGATTTATAATAATTTTGTGTTAATGTCGGGCTATTATCGCCTGACAATGAAGTTGTTTTCGGATCTTTCGGGGTCTATTTGTAGGTGTGCCTGCATAGCAGTCTCGAATGAGATCGAAAGTATGCACAGTGGGGCGACATTGGTTCCCCTATCGATTTCATGGGTTTTCCGCGACTGACAAATTGCTGCATTTAGTTATTAATTTATTATAATTAAATTCTATTTTCGGCTGCTGTAAAAGGTCATGGTTGAGGCGCACTCTTAACTAAAAAGCCAATACCAAACAAATTAGTTTGATTTAATGAGGCGTGCTAAATATGCGTATAATACGTCAACTTTGATTATTCGATTAACTGTTTGCGATTTTAAACCGAAACTGGAAATGCTAAAGGTTCACTGCACAATCATCGATCATGGCTGAAATCGAGTTTCGGTGTTTGGCTTGAATTATTTGGCAAACCAAATAACTTCTGTTTTGCAAGTACATGGAACGGGTTTTTGGGAATTTGTGTAACGAATCCAAAAATAATATTTAAAAATATATGGCGTGACTGTTCATCTTCTTAATATAAATGTTTAAGATAGCTTTTAGGATAGCTTTGAACCACTGTGCGGGATTGGGAACTATGCAGACCTAGACCTTGCACGACTTGTACGTTTCGGACCCGCACCCTGTGATTTGCATAGCGCGACTTTACAACTCGCCGCCCCGCCAAGGTGTCTCTGCTGCAGAATCAGTCAATCACTCCATCAATCAGAATGCCTATGCGTTTGCCTAATGATATTTGCATTGTGTTTAAATTTTGTTTGCTTTGAAAAGTATTTGCTAATTAAGAAGAAACGTCCAGCGTTTATTCATCGTTTACATAGTCTTCAATAAAAGACGGGCAGCACGCTGGCCGAAGATGAAAGCATGAAGCGAAAATAATCTTCGGCTAATTTTCAGACATAAATCTTCAAGTCAAACAAGTCGAGATCTTTTCGCGGACAACATTAATTAAGTAACACAAATCGACGCCAAATAGTTTAGCCTTAGAATCAGTTGCGAAACACAAACACGAAAAACTAGAAAACCAAAGCCGAAACCAAAACACAACCGATCAACTGCCTTTTCCAGTTCTCCTTCTGCGAAACGATCATCTTCTCCGGTCGAGATGCGTGTGTGAACTATTAGATAGTTTTCGGTTGACTCTGACCCCCCAGGGTATTTGACACTTTGGAAACATTAATTAAGAAATGTAGAATTATGCTAATAAACAACTCCTGCTTATGTTTAGTTATAAAACTAAAATTTGTTTGGTTATTCGTGTTTGGAATTATTATAATTTATGCAGCGAAGCCAGCCCACTAGCAAACATTCTGATATTTGGGCCAAAAAACAAAAGACTTAGGCAACGAACTGACATCGACTGTCAGAATCAGTCTGCCTTTGAAACTGTTAAGTGGTAGAACCATACTGTGTCATTGTTCCTGATCCGGAACTGCTTACGTTAATTATACTTCTGCGCCTGATTAACAAATCAAAGCTCGTTAGATCGACTTCTGTTAGTCCTATTACCGTTCTGGCCGGCTTCTCATAATTTTGATGGCCTATTTTCTTTGATTTTATCGCATTTTCTGTGATTTTTATGGGCCTTATTTGCATTCGATTCGAGCCAAAAACTATAAACAAAACATGAAAAGGCTTTAAAAATAATTTTTTATATTTTTATGTGATTATTTGAGAACATGCTGGGCTCCGAAATGCTTCCGTGTTATGGGATCCCCAGATGGTTAAGTTACTTTGGTGATTAGCACTTTTTTTTTTAAGAGAGCTAGCCGAATTTTGTTTACAGTTTAATGCTTCTGTTTTAGTAAGTCAAATATAATAGAGTTTTGTTATTAAAATAAAATAAAAAAAGCTCTAAACTGTTAGAGAAATTCAATAAAGAAAACAATAGACTTCCATTGAGTTGAACGCCTTCCGCTCTTGAGTGGCATAAAAATCAAAATCAAAACCACTGCCATAATAAATTTTCAACGAAATTGGCTTCGGATCTTCAAGAACTCAAACTACTTGACACTTTTTAGTCTCGTTTTTATCCGCCTCTGACGTTTAAAGCCATAAAATATGAATAAGCAAACATGGTCTCCGCCAGATAAAACGGAAATGAATTATTTAGCCAATTCGCTGCGACCTGGTATCAAATATCGAGAATCTTTGGCTGGTCTAGGGTAGGGTAGGGTAGTAGCGCCCATGTCAGATAACCGAAACAAAAGATGGACCCAAGCCGAGCCGGGCCAAGCCAGCGTGATTATTGGCATTTGGTTATGCTTATTAGATTTTCGCTGCTTACGTTTTGGGCAGATGTTTTCCTCATATATATTAGAAAAGAGCATCGCGCCGGATTGGCAGTACGGTGGCTAACTTTGAACCTCGCAGACGTCGCTCCTCGCAGACCTTAAAATCGAAACGAAAATAATTCAAAATATATTCGAAGTTATTTCGAAACTTACTGTGTGATTTTGTGCGGTGTCGTCGTGGTGTGTGCAAAAAACACAGAAACAAAATACAAATATGCGATATTTTGTAAGCATTCGGCCATGGGCCCTAATCTGTGTTCCCGATCTGTGATCATATCGATGGCTGATAAGACCCCTTTTGGTTTCAGCTGATTGGATTGCTCTTCGTGGGCCTGATTTTGTTGGAAGTGGATGGCCGTCTGGTGCGGGTTCGCCGGATCCGGCGGCTAGTAGGCGGCGACGAGCGGGATGCCCAGATCACGGATTTCCGGGTATCACCCTTGGACGACGAGGGCGTCTTTAAGTTCGCCTTCAAAACCAGCAACGGCATCGATGTCCAGGCTGCTGGCACTGCCCTGGAAACCATTGGAATTTATAGCTACACCTCGCCCGAGGGGGTGCCCATCGAAACCCGGTACATAGCCGATGAGCTGGGCTTCCATGTGGTGGGCCGCCATCTGCCGCAGCCTCCTCCAACACCCGACTATATCCTGCGATCCTTGGAATACATTCGCACCCACACCGAGGATGGCAAGCTGAAGCCAAACGTGTTCTGAAGTTCCTGAAGTTCAAACCCCATATATTCGCACCGATTTGGATGCAAGTGTCCAAGAAGAAGGCTGAACCCACCACACCATTTAGCACGTACTAATCTAGCACCACCAACTAACTAAGAACATTCCCCAACTTAAACTAAGTTGTTGCTAGTTGTTGTAAGTTCTTCGAACTGCGCAAATGTTCATTAACTTTTCTTTGTCTTCACCTTGAGGTTTTTCTGGTTGGGCTATAAATCACCCATCCATCGATTCTTCCGTGGCGTGAATTTATTGTATTTGCGCCCATAAAGAGCAAACAAAGGCACGCCCAAAAAAAGCACACACATCTTCAAAAAAGAAATCTCAAGTGACCCCATCGAATTCTATCTTGTTATCCCATTATCCGCTAACAGCTTTATTTGTCTGCGCGTCTGATTAATATTTACGTCTATTCTCAGATATGGAAATTTGAAAACTGGATGGAAATGAATCGCGATTCTGTTTCTGTGTTTGGCGATCTAGCGATGACTTAATAACAAAAGGCATTTTCTTTCCGGGTAAAAAAAAAAATTGTGTATGTCCATAAAAAGAACACAAAAAAATCTAGCGGGAACATTTGCAAACATTCGAATCAAGTTCGGCCTGCTCGAATTTAAAAACGACAAATTATAATAAGCTAATAAGCAAAACAATTAAATCATGCAAATTTTGAAAACATATGTTGATCGTCTTTTTTTTTTAAATGGTAGCCTAAAAGTATAGTTTTATCTTTAGCTGTTTTTGGCTTTTCAGATACTGAATATACATGAAATGACCTGCTTTGTTAATTGGTTATTAAATGTATTAATCAGATGAGATTAATTAATTGATTTTAAGAGGCATTCGCAGCTGGATCCATTTAATACCCTTTATTTGGAATAACTTACTTCCATATTATAAACAAAAGATGTAATACATTTTTGATTAAATCAAATTATTGTATTTCTGTTCATTGGTTGGTAATAATTGTAAGAAAAAAAAATTATTTCATCCTTTTTGAATTTTCGGAATATTACAAATGTTTTAGGTATGTTGAAAAAATGAATGTTTAAATTGTAATTGAGTTTGAGAAGTTTTGAGAAATAATTAAAATATTGAAAAAAAATATTTATTAGGTGAGTATAATGATTTTAAAATATATTTTTGATGAAAAAAATATGTATCTGACTAGTCTCCGACTTGTACTTCCTTTTTTTATCCATCTATGGAATGGAAAAGAGCTCCAATAGCTCCGAGAGAACCACTGCATCATCCTTCTTCCAGTTCAACATCTTAATGTGAACAGCAGATAAGTCACGTGGATTGCTGGCGGAAGGAACGCACAGTCTGATGGCCTGAAAACGTTCTAATTAATCAACAAATCCAATAAATTGTAATGAAGTTCAAAAACTCACCTCAATCAAAATCTCGGTAAATTCTGTTGAATAGCTCATAACTCTATATGCCGTATCGACTGCCATGGCCGGATTAATGTTTAAGTTCATGAGCAATTTGCCCAAAACGGACAGCATTTGTGCCAACCTATGAGGTTTGGAGATGTCGAGAGGTCGACAGAATTTGGCAAACCCATCAGACGAGTAAGAATAGCAATGGTTATTGTTCATAAACTTAAATCCCAGAATGAAATGGTAAAATATCGGAGTGATCTTGTTAAAACCATTTCCAACATACTGTGAAGCGGTTATGGTATAAAATAGACGCTTATCCTGCAGAGTCGTGTCAGAGGTCACCTTATACCTATTTCCACTGCTGCAACCAAAATTTTGCATTTCTTCACAAGCTCTATTTATATGGAACGTAAACAACGTGTTGAAATGCTCCCCGTTTATGTCGCTGCCGTTGGCAGGACTGCACCGTAGGTTGGTCTTCAGCTTCAGTTTAGGGATCTTTTCTCCAACAGCAAGCCCCGAATCTTCAATCTGAAAAGTCATGTTTAACCAAAGAACTGGGACCCGGAATTGTGGAAACGGATGGGTCCAGAATAAACCTTTTTACAGGTTTCTATCAATAAACGTATTCTTTACAAATCTTAAATTGAACTTACTTGTTGCTTTCAAGTCTTCAAATTCAGTAATGAAAATTGGCCCAGCTTCACCCAAGCCCTCAACTATTTTCCGGGTGATCTCGTCCGCATCCTTTCTATATGTTGCCAATTCTGGTCTCTCATATAAGGTAGCTTTTTCCACAAGAATTTCAATGGCATCTGTTAGACTAATGGCCATGGTGCACGAGGTTGTAGTTCTTAGCTTGAAAGTTGCGAAACGGAAGTGCAACACTTTTCCGAATCAGAGATGGACTTTCCAGGAACGCTTGGGGCTGAGTAATCGATAAATTATGACAATATTTACGGCTTATTTACATAAATATAAACTTTTTGTTTAAATAAAACATAATTATTTGAACAATATGCGGTAATCCTTATCCTATCTCACTTGAAAACCCTTTCTTCGAATTATAATTGTTGACCAGTGTGTCCCCCTAGTCTTAATTATCCTATCGGTCCATCGCTAAAAGCACATGAAATATCATCATGAAATCATAATGGCCGCCATTTGAATAAATTGAACAATTTTCAATGAAAATTAATTTAAAAAATAATATGAAAACCACATTTAATTAATTACAACGCAGAGGCAGATTTATTTTCCTGTATTGACGCGCTTTATTATAGATAACTACTAGTTTAACGTACAATTGTATGTCTCTAAATAACAATGACTGGTTGCAGTTCCGGAATCTGTTTCTGTGGCTGGATCCTCCAATTTACTGCTGATCCTTCTGGGCTGGCGACGGAGGATGAGTGCGAATGTATTCCAGGGCGCGGAGCACGTAGGCGGGAACTGGGGGCGGCGTGGGCAGGTGATCGCCCACCGGATGGTATCCCTCTTCGTCGGCGGTGTAGGTCAGCGAGATTGGTTCGCCCTCGGGCGATACATAGCTAATTGCTCCACGAACACCGTTGGCGTTGCCCGCCTCCTGGTGCTGGATACCGTTGCTTGTCTCGTAGGCGAACTGATAGTTGCCCTCGGCATCAGAAGCGTCGTTCTGGAAGCTGCGGATCTGGGCATCCTTGTTGATGTTGTCGGCGCAGGCGCAGCCGATGAGAGCGAGGCAGAACAGCTGGAATTGGAGGTGATATGTCCAGTAATCGGAGGATGAGTGGGTATTGCACAAAACTTACATATTTGTACATCTTGCTGGTGGTTTGAGTTTCAGTGGATGATGAGATGATGCTGTGGTTTGGCTGCTTGCAGTGCAACTGTTTAATTCGATCAGCTCAAGTGCGTCTTTTATATGGATGGTGATGAGTTGGGGACCCTTGTCTTTAGTTACAGGCACTCAAACGGGTTTCTCGAACCGAGGAGGACCAGGGGTAGCTATAATTGCCAAAAACTTGTATCATCATACCCCAATATTGAAACAATAACAGCAATAGTGAGACCGAAAAGAGCCTTTAAAATACATGAGTCATTTGCCAACAATTTATTTTGTATGCTTTTAATTCGGTTTCAGTTTCGGTTTTTCAGTCCGAATCCCACTAAATGCTAAATTGTATACAAATAAAAATTGTTGTTTAATGCGGTTACGGCTCATTCATGGGCCCCTGGAAATTCCAAACGAAAACGAATTATGAATCTCTGAGATTTTTTGTTACAACTTTCAATTGGAGATGCGCGCCCTGGGCGCGAAACTTCCAATTGGAGTGGCAGGTGCGCATGCCCCTGGAAAGCTGTTGAAATCGGTTCAGAGACGACGGTTCCGAGGAGATGGGCAAGGTCACCTGGCAACATGTCACCCGGAGCGCCGCCGAATATCGTATCGCCACGAAGGCATGATCTTCTGATACCCTACATTTATGACTTTAATTAATTGTTAACTTTGATGTTCGGCGAATTGATTAATTGCCTTGGACTATGCGATATGTTTAAACAAATTTATACTTGGGCTTCCACAAAAGACTGTTTTAGTTTTGTTTTCGCTAAATTAGTGTAGCAAACATCTTCCGAATCGGTGTTAATTGCCAAGAACTGTATCGCTTGACAAGGAAATCTTGAAGCCCGGAAAGAAAACCGGAGTTCCCCGCATGTGTATCTATTAAATGAAGTCCACAACAATTTAACATACACGTCCAAATCAGCCGAGAAAAAATATTCAAAAAAAAATATGTACACTTTTCAACCTTTTGTAAAGATAGTCCCTAGGAACGTGAAGTGGATTTCGATTCTGTTGAGCTGGCTTGTGATCTGCCATGAGGTTGAGCCAAGGGCGATACCCCCGAGCCCGTCCCAAATTGAAAGCAGGGTCCAGAATGAAAGTGCGCTGGACGAGGAACTCTTCAACAACCAGACTGTATCCGACGGATACCTCGTTTACACTTTGCCGGACGGAAAGTGCCTTCGGATAGTCTTTCACGTCGATCAGTATGGATTCTACCCGGAGACAATCGATTTGGAATGACTTTACCGAGGGTCGACTGTGTAGTTCTCGCTTGTAGAAAGCTGCATCTGGAAATGGATATAACTGAAATCCTACGCAAACGGCTTCAGTATGCATTTAGACTTTTAAAAATAAACACCTCAATATGCAAATATTGATTAAAAAGTTGTTTCGAAGCCGTTATAAAGTTGCTGTATAATTTGCCGTGATCTTTTGGAATGTACCTCTCTGGAAACATAAAAAATCGGAATGTTCTACCAAGTTGTCTTACTTATATTTGTTTTTCCATTTTTAGGCAATTTAACAATTCAAATTTTTGGTGAATGTCCCATCTGTTGGCAACTTCACAGATAATATGTAGGGCTGAACTAGTTTGTGAGATCAGGTGGGCCTGCGATTGATAGGCATTTTATTAGCCATGGTGCTAAGTGCGTTTAGGCCTAGAGAATTTATTGCTGGACAGCAAATTTGTATGCTAATGCCCCCAAACTTGTTGAGATTCCGGGGAGCGAATTAAGAACGAACTCCTTGGTGAACAAACAAGTTATACGCCTGCGCTCATCCCAGACCAAATGAAATCGAAATTTAAACGGATGATAAATTGGATTGATTTAAATTTATTCGCCACGAGTTAGTGGGCCCCCGCCAAAGTTTATACCCCTCTCTGTATTAACCTCCGATTCCATTGGCGAATGTCACATATGCCATTACCTCTGCGAAATCCAAACTATTAGCCATTAAGTGCAAAGTCGGATCGGTGATTACCGCCACCTGGGCAGAAGTGGATCCATCAGTGGCAGCCACTTCAAATGGGTTCAAATCTTTTATTTTTCCCTTTCCAGAGGGTATATGTTATTTTCATGAAAGGAATGAAAATGTTTTTCTCTTTGATACAGATTCTGCAATTTTAGTCTTTCTTTCAAAGGTCAGACTAGGTTCTAATTGCATTCAAAAATATTAAAACTTTAGAATAAATTGAATAACAATTTAAAGATTAATGAGCAACAAACTCCTTTCTTTTTTAAGTCTATTTCCAGAAGGAATTCCATCCAGAAAGTGTATCCGAAATATCAAATCCCAAAAAGAGACCTCCTTTCTAGTTTTTTTCTGGGGCTGCGCTGAATTTTATTTAATTCGATCTGTATGCTGCTCTTTTTGCCAAAAACACACAAACATATTAAGTTTGATATTTGGTTTGAAGCGGCGGCTTGGTGTTCAGAGCCAGATTAGAGACGTCAGCGTCCGTGACGCCAACGCCAACGTCGACGGCGGCGGCGGAGAAGATCCGATGGCGGCTATAAAAGCCACCGCCTCCGAAGATCACCCAATCAGTTTGGATTTAGACAACCTAAGAAACTGCAAAATGTTCAAGCTTGTGAGTAGAAGTGTCACAAAATCTCTGAGGATCTACCTAATCTCCGGATAACTATTCCAGTCGCTCTGCCTGATCGCCGCCCTTATGCTGGCCAATGTCCATGCGGATAACATCAACAAGGATGCCCAACCTATCAGCTTGAAGAACGATCCTGCGGATGCGGAGGGAAACTACGCATACGCCTTCGAAACTAGCAATGGAATCCAACAACAGGAGGCTGGCAATGCCAACGGTGCTACTGGCGGCTCGTCCTATGTTTCTCCCGAGGGTATCCCGATCTCGCTGACCTACGTCGCTGATGAGAACGGATTCCAGCCCCAGGGTGACCACTTGCCCACTCCCCCTCCAATCCCAGAGGCCATTCTGAGGGCCCTGGAATACATTGCCTCCCACCCACCCGCATCTCAGTAAACCCCAATTGGATACCCCATTTCTGGCCTAGTCATTGCTATTGCGGCTAAAATGAGTAATATCTAGTTATAAAAAGCGTGTACATAAGCAAAATCAAAAACTCCATAAAATTTACATAAATGATCATTTCAACCTATCTAATATTGTCTTAATTATGGAATCGGTTAAAAAAAATAAGCATCCATGCACTGGATAAAACGTGAATGCCGCACTAATCCGGATTTATAATTTTTCCAAATTGCATTTGAATATTTTAGTGTGCCACCGAGTGAGATATTTTGGATATTTTTCGAGCTCCTATTTTTCACATCACTCCTCGGTATAATAATCGGCCCATTCATAAAATGATGTCCGAACTAGAAAACATTCTTGTTTTGGTGTTTTGTTTAATTAAATCAATATTTCTCAGTCTCACATTTGTTACCAATTTGAGCCAAATTAAACAGCTGTCCAAGATCATTTATCAAACCGCAAACCAGACCCAGACCCAGGAACTGACCAAGGCAAGAGGTAAAAACCAAGCCAAAAGCGTATGCGGACAAATGTGGAAGCCGCAGGGCCATCAACTCACTTGGCATCTTTTTTTCGGCTTCGGCCCCTGTTCAGTTATTTTTAAAAAATATATATTTTAAATAACCATTTCCATGTAAATGCTACTCTGGCTGACCTCCACATCGAGCCAGAAAAAAATAACCAGAAAGAGTCTAGAGAATTATGCAATTGCCGGCTGGGAATTGGAAAACTGGTTTGCGGGTTATTAACACTTTCGCTTCTTGAATTCTACTTGGCCAAGATTTGGGTCAGCGGCCGGCAGCTGTAAAGTCAGTTTCCATCAAAGAAACAGGAAATTTTTAAACCTCTTAGGGCTACAATTTGCATTTAACTGGTTTTTAAGAAATATTACTAATTACTATAAATATTAATTTCAGATTTTAACTTTTTATCGGATTTTTAGTTAAGGTTAAAACTAACTTTTTGCATGTTTTATTTTTATATTTTAAATAGTTTTTATTTCAAAAGGATCACATGTTCTTATTACTTTTCAAAAAAGTTCAAAATTGTTCAACTTCGGTAGGGTTAAGCTTTATGCATAACCTGTTTTGTAGTATCCTTCACAACTACCCCATTAATCGGCGACGAACCCTGTGCTGGCATATGTACAGTGTATATTTATAGCAGGACTGAGTCGCCTGCTGCGATCACATAATCAACAATTAAGTATAAAAACCAGTGCAATATGTATGTGCAACGATAAATAAGCCCCATTTGGCCCTTTTGAATGTATTGGCGACATGGGCGAATGTGTCTGTAGAGACGCCGGCGTCTCTAGAGCTTGCTCTCCTTTGCCTCCTTGGCCTTTTGGCGCGAAGCCGCCGCTGCCGCCGGTCCGAAGCGGTGGATAAAGTTGTTGACCGGCGCGATGATGGCCTCCGGATCGTTTATGTGCACATGGTGCGAGCCATTGGCCTCAACGTACTCGAAGTTGGGCTTCTTAACCAACACGTCCAGCACCTCGTCGTAGTACTTCTTGTCCTCAAAATACGAGGACTGGGTGGCCTTGATGAACAGATACGGGCATGTGATGCGATGGGCCATCTCCACGCATAGCTCCTGGGACCCAATGGCGTAGTTGTAGAACTTCAGGCGCCGGTCGCGACAAAAGAAGTACTTGTCAGGGTACTTCTCGGATTTCTGGATGTTTCGGGCCATCAAATGCTTACAGTGCTCCTTGTTCACCGAGTGGAAGGTTCCAATGTAGACGCGTTCGATAAGTTCGTCGTAAGAGTAGCTGGGTGGTTCGTTTTTGCTCCTATTTCGCTGATCTTCGCGCAAAAATTCATCTAATCTCGTTTCCATTGTTCGAATAACAGATGGATAAGGCCGCTGGTGGGGCTTCAGGGCATCAATGCCAATGATCATGTCGACTTTGTCGGGGAAAACAGCGGCGAATACGAAGCAAATGATAGAGGACATGGAGTGTCCCACGAGAGAAACCTTCTCCCATTTGTACTGCTTCATGATTAGCCGGATCACGTAGAGATTATCGACCGAGTTGTAGTAGCAGCCATCCGGCAAGCGGGAGGACAGTCCATGACCCGGTAGATCGATGGACAGGAAAGCTATGTCCGGCGACAGCAAAGGCATCAGGCGATCGAATGTTCCCGCGTTATCCTGCCAGCCATGGAGCCCCAAAATGGGCTGAACGTTCTGAGGGCCGTACCATTTGCCGGATATATGACCCCAGGGCACTGTGATGCTGATTTCTGAGAACTGTAAATGCAAAAAAAATCAGTGAAAAATAACCGCATACGAGAATGTAGTTCAAAGTTCACATACTGGTCTGGTTGGAGCTTCGCCAGTTAAGTCGCCTGCATGCCGATAACGCTGGGCGAGATCGCTGCCACTGGCGGTGCCACTTGAGCTGTCCTCCAAATCCATTCTGTCCGCTGAAAAGTCCAAAAATGGAATGAGCTTCAGAATACGCTTCCATTCCAAAGTTTACCAAACTGAGAGGCTTATCAGTAACGACATGACCAGATTAGCTGACCGATTAGTTAACAAAACGCAGAGGCGAAAGCGAAAAACATAAAAGCGGAAAGTAAACAATAAAGAGACGCATAAAAAATGCGAATTTGGCGTGCCTGCAACGCGAAATCAGTGAATATCGGCCAAATCGGATCAAAATCAATGCCGGCGCCTCAATGAAAGGTCTCAAAGGTCAAGGTGGTCTCCCTTGGCAGCCGTTGCAAATCTTGACTCACGTTTCCAGCTCATCGGGGACGGGATCTTTTTAATTTCGGGTTTTCGTTTCAACAGAATCCAAGCAGAGTTTTATTATTTAATATTTATTTGCTTAATTCAACGCAGAAGTGAATGGATTGATCATCCAGATTCCAAGATAAATATCTAACTACAGCTGTTAGTCGGGCGGGGGCGTTTATGCGGCAATTATTATGAATTAATATATTATTTATTTAAATATAAAAAAAAAAGTCATCTAATTCAAATTAGCACATTATTCTGATTATTAAGAATGAGTTTTATTATTCAAACAATAATTTCAAATAAAGTCAAGTTAGAATTTCAAAATATCCACCGTATAACCAAACCGTATAGTGTTGGAAACTGCCGGCAACAGTGTTGCAAGCTTCCAACAGTCCCGCGAGAAACAGACAACATTAAAAACCTTGTCATTAAATAGTTTCTTAGGAGATATTACGTACCGAGATCAAAGTTCATCTGGCACAGCGTGCTAGCTCATCGCTATCCATGAGTGGTGAAATCAAAGCGAGCTCGTGAGTCAAGCCAGAAGAACGTGTCATTACTCAACGAAGATACATTTTTTAGAAAATGAAGCTGCCCAGAGCTTTACGTCTGCTGGCACAGCTCCCGAATGTCCGACATGCCAGCAGTGGAGTATCCAAACCCCTGGCGACGTACACTAAACATGTAGGTGATTCCTTGGTTTCGTCCTTTTTGCAAACTAATTCCCTTCCTCACTTCCAGTTTGAGGAAATCACCATACCGGTGCCGTGGGGTCACGTATCCGGGAAATGGTATGGACCAAAGCATGTTCGACCCATCGTGGGCATGCACGGATGGCAGGACAATGCGGGCACCTTTGACACCCTGGCGCCCTTGCTGCCGTCGCACCTCTCCTTTCTGAGCATCGATGCGCCAGGACATGGGCTGTCCTCCTGGCTTCCAGCAGGCACCTCCTACCACTCCATCGACTTGGTTTTAATCATCCGACGCCTAATGGACGACTACAACTGGGACAAGATATCCATCTTGGGACACTCGATGAGCTCCATTAACGGCTTCGTGTTCAGTGCGCTATTTCCCGACAAAGTCGATCTATTTATCGGTCTGGATGTCCTCAAGCCGCCGATTCGTAGTGCCCGCTCTATCGTGAACGGATTGACGGAGCGACTGGAGGGAACATTGAAATTGGAGCGACGCCTAAAGAGCGGCTCTGAACCGCCCGCGTACGACTGGGATCAGCTGGTAACCCGCCTGCACGAGGGATCCAACAAATCGGTATCCCTGGATGCCTGCAAATACCTGCTGCAGAGGAACTGCAAGCCCTCCACCCACGAACCACACAAGTATTACTTCTCGCGCGACAACCGGCTTAAGACGTCGCTGTTCTACACATTGCATCTGGATGTTGCTTTGGAGATGGCCAGCAGGATCAAGTGCCCGCACTTGTTCATCAAGGCTCTGCAGGCCCCGTACTACGAGAAGAAGGAGTACTACGATGCCACTCTGGTCGAGTTGAGAAAGAATCCTCTTTTCGAGTTCTATGAAGTCGAAGGAAGTCACCATGTCCACTTAAACGAGCCGGAAAAAGTGGCGCCCATCATTAACTCGTTCATTAACAAGTACAGACCTCTATAAGACGATTATCTTTAAGAATCTGACGCATAGGCAATGTAAATACTAGTTCAATCTTAAATTAATTGACGAATATTGACTCGATATTAAATGGGAATCCACCTCTGCCATAGAAAGTACGAATTTGGTTGCTTCTATTTAATTTATTATGTACAATCGATTCGGGCAATAACATTAAAGTTTAAGACTAAATTACAAACTTCAAAAAGTACAATTTAGTTGTTTCCTAATGGAATTATTGGCGCTGCAACTAAGTCTGGCCGACAATAGCCAACACAGAAGCGTTTTTACAAAAAGACTGTCACAACATAGGCAAAGACGTTCACAAATTGTTCTAAACATGTTAAAATTTCAATTTTTATATAAATTACTAGATATGGACAAAACAAAAAACAAGTTAAAATGGTTTAAAATAAATTAAAAAAGAGACAATTACCACAAACAAAAGACATTACAATAAATAGGCTTTTAAATATAAATATGAAAGAAAACGCTATGATAGGTTACGAGGAGGAGTAATGTGAGCATTGCTCTGATAAGAAGTTGGGAGCTAAAGATTTAAAGGTAGTCCGAAGCTGGGCATAGGTACAAGGACTACTCCAGATACTAATTCATAAAATAGATTGGCTAAAGTATACTTTGCAAATAACTATGTTGAGGCAGTCTTTGTGTAAAGAAGCTAAGTAGCTAAATGTAAAAAAAAATATTGCAGGTAAGTACTGAGTTTATGGATTCGTTTTGGAATATTCTGTGCACCGCACAGGCTTGAACCGATAAAGCCAGCACTTAAACTCTAAACAAAGCATTGAAACGTTTTAAAATAAATATTAGGTCGAGATTGTTGTTAACTAATTTCTAAGGCTACAGGCTACACATATATCTTTTTGGGGGTTTCTCTTGTAAAATCAGTCGGCGCTAGCAAAAACATATTAAAACAAATACAACATTGGGATATAGCCAACGGGGCAGAACTGTGACATACTCGAATATATAATGTATAGATATAAGCTTCAGTTATGTATAATTGTATATCAAGCGTAATCAACAATTGCTTCGGTTTCGCATGGAGTTTGTTATGTTGCGCATTTGAGTGTCTTGTGTATAGATTCAAAGTTTTGTAGAAAAATATACAATATTTAGTAAATAAATATCTGTATAGGATATATCTATGATGCGGATTATACAATCTATTGCAGCAAGAGGCTGGGCAGTCGCCTAGCCTGTCCTTGCGCATTAAACACTGTAATAAAACAACAAAACTAATGACTACTCTATAAATAAATACAATAAATAATTAGGTCTTAAAGAGAAAATGCCTTGCAACATTTAGTATGGATTTGTAGGTGTTACTCTCTAGGCTTCTTTCAATAATTTGGTTTTTCTATTTACAATCGTTTCAGGTTTCCTATTTTTTTCTCTCCTTCTTCGCGGGCGTTGCTTTGGCTGAAGCTCAAGCCACTGGCGAGGAGTCGCCCTTCATGTCGCGCTCCCGAAAGAATCCGCGTTCTGTTTTGCACTCGCGTATGGTGACAGTTTCGAGGTTGACGGTCACGTCGGTGATAACCACCCGATTAGATATGTTGCACTTGGCCGGGAGCCAGAATCGAGGGGGTAGTGCCCGCGGAGACAGAGGTGTCAGCGGCTGTTTTTGATTCAGAGTCAAGTTATTCCCGATTTTTGGTACATTGTTGTTCTCTGTGGGTGGCTGCGGCTGCTGCTTAACGCTCTCCTCGCTAGCTGCCTCCTCCTCTTCAGTGCCAGACTCTGCGGGTGTGGACGTGGCTTCATTGGCCAATGCATTATTTTGTACATCTGCTTTCTGCGGTGCTGAAGGCTCGCCACCAGTCTTCTCCGACTGTAATGGGTCCTGGGACTTGGACGCCTGCTGCTCTTGATGCTGCTGCAGTTGAGGCTGAGGCTTCTGAGCAGGGCCATCCGGCGAGGTCTTGATCGTCACTCCGATTTTGCCAGACTCCTTCAAAACCTCCGCCTTGCGCTTGGTACCAATCAAGGGCTGATCCTCCGAGCTGGACGAGTTTGTGTCGGCCTCGGGAACAAAGGAGTTGTGGGTGGAGCTGCTGTTTGAGGAGGAGCTGTGGTCCATACGCTGTCGCTTGGACTCGTGGTGGTGATGATGATGATGGTGGGTGAGCGGAGACTCGGAGCGCCGGCCACTGCTACGTTCGGACTTGATGTGGTGATGGTGATGATGGTGGTGGTGGTGTTTCTTCTCCTTTTTGGTTTCAGGCGTCTCTTGAGCGCCGGCATTCGATGTGGTCGGCGTTTGTTCTGTGTTTGTTTCATCATCGCCGGTGAAGGTGTACTCGTCTTCCTCTGACTCCGGTTCCGGGTCAGGTTCTGGGTCCTTCTCCTTCTTTTTAAGGCCCCGTTTTGAGGGCGTGCCGGAGGATTTGTTGCTTTGCTCGTAGATGTCGATCAGGCGACGATCGAGAATGTTTACCTCGGGTTCCCAGGTATTGTAGCGTTGGTTCCAGCCCTTCCACTTTACGCGATACTCCACAGTGCCCTGCAAAGACGAGAGGTTTGCAAATTTTCCATGAAACTCCATATGCTTAGACCACTAATTGATTTTTCGTTACAAAAACAAATAGACCCGCATAAGCTAATATTACAGTCGAGCTCGGAATAACAATAGTATTTGTTTATATTGCCGAGCTATTCAGCGAAAATACTTCGGAGAGTCGGAGTAATTAATGTGTGTGTACATTAGGCTGCTGTAATTAGATATCTTGTTTTGGCGAGACATCTAGAATGATCAGCGCTGTTGTTTTGCCCGCTACTGTATGTACACACACAAGCACACATATGCAGCGTGCAAATGGTGGTTGCTGCAGCAGATGTCCTCTGCCCAAAAATGCCCAAGGACATGTGACCTTGTGAATTGTTTGCTGCGCATATTGTGTCCTGCATCCTTAACTTACTTTTTAGTTATCATTGCATTCATATTTTGTTTACTTTACCTTTCTAACGCGCTTCTGAATGATTTTCTCGGCAGCGTAAACCAGAAAATCGTCGCGATCATCCTGGACATTATCGCGCACCACTTTGCCCTTGCCGCCCTTGCCTCTTCCAGTCATGATTCAGTATTGCGTGTTGCACGTTTTATTTATTTTAATACGGTAGATTAAATTAATAACAAGCACGGTAAATAAATTTGCGATTTGAGGTTTACAATTTTCAGTGATGCCAGATGAATAAGCAATGTTGCCAGAAGACTAATTTGTTATCTAGAGGTGGAAGAATTTCGATAAGTTATCGGTATATCTAAACATCGATATATTCTTTGCAAAATGTTCAATTTACACTTATTTATGATTAATTTAATCATAAATTATGATTATTTTTGATTTATAAACATTTGGTTAGTTATGATTTAGTTATTAATGTTCAACTCTTCCGATTTCGAGTACAATAAAAATCCAGGTACAAAATTTTCACACAGACTGGCAGAGTTTGTTTATAAATTTCTTATAATATATATGGTTTTTAAACAGTTTTTCATTGCTTTCACCAATTCCATGTAAAAATGCGACAAACGTGGCTGAAAGAGAAAATGAATAAAAAGAGTATCAAAGCTCGCGAAAGAGACTGAAAGCTCGGAAAGGATGTTGAAAGGAAGTGGCGACTGCAGATATTTTTTAGAAGTTGTGCTGGCGGAGGGTTCGCGTGGCGGGGGCGGCAAACGACGATGACATTATTTTATTTATGCTGTGATAGTGAAATACCAACCAAAACACCAATAACTACAACACCAAAATCAAGAACAGCTACGCAAAGCCCTACGCAAAAATCAAACGCAATATTTTCGCCGAGAGACCAAAGAACCAATTGAAATTTAATACGTTTAACGCCATAAAGAAATGAAACCAACCAAAAAGCTTTAACCAGAAAACAAAAAGAAAAAAAAAAACACCAAGCAAATCGTTGCAACCCGTATGAATTAATATTAACTTAATGCATAGTGAAAACAGCACCAATTAGCGCATAACCTACAAAATATTAGTCAATATGTTTAGCTAGTTCCAATATTAATAGATAACATTTAATTAGTGGCTTCAACAAAACACCAAATAAAGTAGAACAAAAAAAAAAGAAACCAAAACCAATACCTAGTTCAATTGAAACTCGAAACTAACGAATAACGATTAGGGAAACTGGGTAACTGATAAGGCTAGAGAAAACATAAAGCTTATTGCGAATATCGAATAGAAAATAATAATAGCAACATTCCCCCAACCCGCGTCGGAAAAGCCTTCGAAAAGCGAGTTCATTCAGAAAACGTGCCACACAACCGGACGGCAGCGACGTCAGCAGCGCAGCCGCCAAGAGCAGCGACGGGCAACGGTAAATGTCAAAGTCATAAAGAGAAAATAACGGGAAAGAGAGAGTCCTGGAGAGAAAGCCCAAAACAAAGCTCAAAACAAACTGACAAATGTCAAAAACCTAAGGAGTGGACGGCTCAGGATAAAAGTTTCAACCAAAAGCGGAATAAAGGACACATATCCTTGAAGAGTTTCTAAAAGATTCGGAGAAAGGACTCTGTCCGTTCAGCTCATTAACACTAACAAGTATTTAAATGTGAAAGTCTCAAAGGATAGTCTGCAACCTAAGAAGCTCAGGATAAAAGCTCCCTCAGAGCTTTTAGCCAGGACACAAGCCACAGGATACAATGGCCACCACAGCAGTGGGAGTGGGCGGCGGTGGATCCTCGCATCCTGATGACGCCAGCAGCATGAGCGACGACGTCTTCGAGGATGCGGAAACCACACAGGCCAGGATCGAGGAGCTGCGCCGTCGGCCCTTCGGCGATGGCTGCTACAATCCCCCCGCAGCACCCGCCTCCGTCTCGTCGGGAGCAACCACGAGGCAGCACCACGACTACCACCATCCGCACCACCACCACAGCCAGCAGAGCCTGACGGGAAGCCATCACTACCACGATGACTCCATAATGGCGCCCGTTCAGAGATCCGCCACCGGATATCCCGGCTATCGGCCCAACCGGGAGGCCATGCAGATGTACGCCTATGGAAACGAGGACTACGAGGACGACTACGACGACGGATGGCGATCGTACCGATACGACGAGGTGGACATGCACCAGGCCCCCGCCCACCAGCAGCCCTTCGATGACACGGTCAACCACAAGACCATCCTGCTGGGTGACTCCGGGGTGGGCAAGACCTCCTTCCTGGTCAAATACAACACGGGCGAGTTCCGTCTGGGCTCCTTTTCCGCCACAGTGGGCATAGCTTTAACGGTGAGTTTAAAAATTTAACATAATGTGGGGTTTAAACTTTAAGGGATAATGAGGGTAAACCTTCTTTAAGTCGAATTAAAATCTGAAAAGAACATGCAACCACTTAAAAGAAACTAAATTTTAAACCGTATTAAATATTTAACTAAAAAACGAATATTTTTTGTTAAAAAATGTCTGTATTGCATCCCGTTTTAATTCAATTTAAAGAATCAACTCTTGTATAAAAACTCGTAGGATTGCGGGAGGTCCCCGTAGCGCTGCCTGCTGCATGTACCCCGCACAGTAGCCTCCGACCCCGCCTGAACCCGTTTGGTTATTCCATTCCGGCCGCCCCCTTGCCGCTCGTTGACGCACTTTCGAATGGGTTCCTTGCGTAGCGCGCCTGTGGGCGTTTGCTTTTTGTATGTGCGTGTGTGTGAAGAGAATATCTTGCCAACTACACTGAGAGAAAAACTTATTTGATTAACAAGAAACAGGGATAACATTTTTAACCTATACTTATTTTAAGTAATAAGGCGGGGTTTAATAATTTTTTTTATTATTTTTTTAGATAAAAACTATACACATATAAAATCATTAAAAAGAGGAACAATTTACAACACTGGTTAAACTAACAACATAGCCATTTTAAATAAATAAAACTCCTACATATAACAGTATTCCCACAAGTTATCTATTTCCTAGTCGTATTTTTTTCCTGTGCATTTCTGACTCTGCTAAATAGGCAACATATTGTTGGGTAATCGCCAGAGATTTTCTATTTTTGGCGGGCATGAATAAATCCCCCAAATTGATTTTTTTCTCCCCGTTGGTAAATATAAATCTCTGCGTTCGACCTTTTCCACGATGTTGACACTGATTGCTGGTTGAACCAAAAAACAACAAGAAAATGTTTGCAACATTTTCTGCCCCCAGCGCGCACACTCACACACTGGCACACACGCGACCTGTTGCTGCCTTTCACTTTCACTCGGCACACGCACAAGAGCACACAAAAACGAACACAAACTCACAAACACACACACATAGACAACGACGTGAGGCAGACTGCTACGAACAGCTTTCACCGCAATGGCCGCCAATGAAGTTCAAGTGCAACGGTTTACAGTTGCCTTGGATGCTGCTTACCCTGCTTTCCCTCGTTTCCATTGCAAAATGCGGCGCGTGCTCTCAACCCTGACACACATACACCCGCACTAGGGTGGCTCAGGTTTTGAGGAGTTTACTTCGGCTTACTAGTCGTATGAGTAATTTTTTGTAATTCTGCCTGAAAGTGTTTTAAGTAGCTTTCCTTTTTTAAATATTTTAAACTAATTACTTTTAATGAAAAAGAAACGTTTAAAATTAAAAAAAAATGATTCACAAAAATAATTATATTTAAAATTTGTCTTAAATTAAATTGTATTCCTAATTTTCATTTTATTTATAACTTTTCTGTCAAAAATATTAAAGCATTAATTTTTCCAACATGATCCACCCTTGTAAACTTCCACCTGAGCTCCAAGTAGCCCCTGCCCGTCCCTGGGGCCACCATTTTTCACGTTTCTAGGCCAGGGCTGCTGCTCCGGATTCAAAGCCAAAGCCAAAGCCAAAAAAACCGATGCCACACGAGCTGAAACTCGAAATCGAAGCTGGAGCCGAAGGTCTCGGCTGCTGCGAAAGGCGAACTGTGAATCGCTCCTGAACTGGGGGCGCCAGTCAGTCTAGCTTTGGATCCGAGTGCTGACACATCCGGCGCGCATCCTTGTCACTGTACCCGGAATCTCCCAGTCAGGTGGAAGCTGTGCCAGCTGCTCCAGCCGAAAATACACTTTACTGGCCCAAAAGCAACGTCGCGACGCGAACTTGAAGCCAAGTAAAGTGAAGTGCCACCTCAGTGTCCTCATTAGGAACTTGAAAATTAAAAAATCAAAAGAAGTATTTGCATAAAAAATTATATTTGTTTTCCTGATTTGCTATTTTTGGCGCACTTTTTTCTTACCTTCCCCTGGTAAATGACAGAGCCCTGCGCAAGTTTAAAAATAAATGAAAACAATTATGGCAGACAGGATGGCTACCTTTTCCATTTAAAAAATATTGAAAGAAGAGGAAAATGTTTGTTTTTAACAAGATAATAAAATTTAGAGTTGCTTTCTAATTTAATAGTTTGTTAGTTGTCTTGAAATAATGTGTGCTACTATCACCTATCATAATAGATACATAAGTATGATCAATTGTCCTGGACAGTTCCCTGGAATTTCGTGTTGAATTCTGTGTGCTGGCCTTTATTTATTCTTAACTGGAATTTCATCAATGCATTGGCAAAATAATCCAATTTAGCTGCGTACCTGATTTCTGTCTCGACTCGTCCTGGACAGTCTCCATTGTTGTCTACTTGTCTCGAGCTTTCTTCAATGCGCATTAATTATGCGAGAACCAATAATTGCGCATGAATGCAGTCGTTCGAAGGTCATGTTGGTCAAGCCACCCACCTACGCCCCCTTTAAATCTTGTTTTTCTATTTTGAGTTCAAATTCCTGGAAACTTTTTTAAGCGGCTTGTGGTATTCAAGGCTTCCCCCAGATAAGCACATGCATCGATTTTTGCAATTAAAAGCGGTTCGGCCTCGGAAACTCTCTCTGATTTCCGAAAAACTTTAAATCTACAGGAGACTACTGGAGAATTCCCAAAAAAGTTTCCTCTCCACCGCCACAGGTGTCCTGTTTTCTGTCACTTTGGAATTTCCAGGGGCAGCCCCCATGGGTTGGAAGTCACTTGAATCGTCATTTAAGCCGATTATTATCACAAATCTCTTGAGGGGATTGTTTTCCTCTCGTTCCTCCGGCTCCATTCAGGAGAAAGTCTCCCACTCCTCCACCCACACTCGCCCCAGATATGCACTGGCACTAAATTGTTGTGTGGCTGCGGTTGCCTTGAAAGTTTTATGAAAACGCTTTACGCGAAAGCATTTTGCTTTTGTCCTGTCAATTGGCTCGCCCATCAATTTGAAGGGGAAACTTCAAAATCTTCACTATCCACAGGGTCTTGTGGGTAGTATCACAGTGGGGGTCACCTTGAGAGAGTCAGATATTTTGTAGAATATATTTTCCTAAAAGTATGTACTTTAAACAATTATTTTATAAATATTAGAATCATCTAAGTGCTTCCCTTTTTATGATAAAATATTGCTAATGTCTTGCCCACATGTGTAAGTGATTGTGGGTGTCCTTTCTGCTGGCTCTCCTTCATTTCCTTAAAGCTGTCCCTCCAATCAGGAAACTATTGTCTGGTGCGGCTGTCTGCGCCTGCTGCTGCCATTTAAGCTGCGTGATTGAACGCTAAATTGAATGTGTGTCATGGCATTTCGTCCTGAGTATTTCGGTCTGCGTGGGCAGGATATACGCTTATATGAGCATTTTATACTCTGCGTGGGCATCCTGCCGGCTGTTCAATGAACCGCTCCACAAGGCTGGCCGCTTTCTCCTTTCACTTTGTGTCCCGTTGTCTCCGTTTTTTGTGCCCTTTCGCTTTGTATAATTACACGGGGAATGCTCCCAACAAGGATGCTCCTCCTTTTCCCTGTTTCCCTTTTTTTAAACCAGTACTCCCCAGCTTTTTCCTGATTCCTTGTTCACTCAATTTATGAAAGGAACTGAAAAATTCTGCTTAACTTTTAACTTTGAACAAATTTTGTGTACTTGCAGAAAGGAAATTTCGCTTTTCCTTTTGTTGTTGCTTGTGTCTCTTCGCTTTCCCACATTTGTTGTCACCAACAGGGCCAGGATACATCGAAAAAAAATTAGTTGTCTATAAAATATATAAATATTTATAACTTTTAACTTATCTACCTAGTGATATAGAGTCTTCCTATGATTTTGAGATTTAAATGGATGCTTATAAGTTATAACTTTTCCTTAGCTTTATCCAATTATTAGAAATTTTGTTGCCCTGAAATAGGACAAGGGAAGCCTCAGCTGGACAAGAAAAAAAACAGCGACAACCCAATTAAAAACTTTTGTTATCAAGCATTGCGTTTAAGTTGATTAAAGTATATTCCTCGATGGATGTTCAAAAGGTTATTTCATGGATCGACACCTCGTTGGCCCCCGGGCCGGAAAAAAGGGTAAACTTTCGGAATATCCTTGTCATATTTGCATAAAGGGAACGGAGTTGTCCAAAGGCAATATCTACATTTATGTATGAGTTACATCGAACTTGAGAATAATTAAATGTCTGCCAGGAATCGAGGCATAATTGGTAAAATTATACGTTTCCCAAATTTAACAAATTTGTCTCCGGCGCCACGGCTATCGAATTTCCATGTCCTTAAGGGCATCAAATGAACAATTTATGGCCCAGAAAGGACTAAAGACGAAACCTATAATTTTAGTAGGGAGTAGTTTCTTTTTTTTTTATGGAAAATTGGCGAAACCCTTAGAAATCGCTCCCGAAATAATATTATTTTTGCCAACGGCCCAAATAAAAGTTTACCTTTTCAACTTTTACAAATTTGTCCCGGCTCGAGGGCTATCCGATTTCCAGCCCGGCCATCCCGGACGGAGGCACTTGCCTTCCACTTAGTCTACCGCCTTTATCCGCCTTCAGAAAGTAGTTAACAGTTCGCACGTGTCCGCCACAGCCGTTGACCTGCGTTTAAGGACCCGCGCCTTAAGTCCCCATAAAAAGAAAGAAACGCTTTAAGGCACCTGAAAAGTGGAAAAGGAATAAAGGTGAAACGACAGGCTGCAGACAGCCGTGTACTCGGAATCCGAAAGGATCTGCGGGTCTCCCAATCACAATTTCACTTCCAATCTCATTCCCCGATTCCACCCACGTCAAAAAAGGGGTTTTGTCTGGAATTTGAAAGCCATGCAAGCGTATTGATATATGTATTGGCATTTTTGGCAATTTGTTGCGTTGAAAATGAAATTAAAGTTTGGCGGGTGGTTCCCAACAAATGCCAAAGCAAATAAAAGTTTGAAAAGTTTGACTTCTAGTTTATGCATTGCAAGGATTTCTAT